CCACGTGCCATGAGGAGATATGGTAGCCCATCAAAGCAGCGGGATAGCAGAAGGCTAAACCGCCGTATATGACCATGGCGAAGGGGACGCGAAACTTGTCAATCGCACTGCCAAAGGAGACATCTTCCCGGCTCATGTAGACGAGAATCTGCGCCAGAGAGGCACCGAGTAGGTAAGCCGCAATGAAGGTTGCTGATGTGACAAAGGTAAAGAAATAGCGGTAGTTGCGTCTACCGACGCAGTTATTGAGCCAGACACAGTGGTGGTCGTGGGTCTCGATACAATTATCGCAGAGGCGACAGTGGTGAGCGCGGGGAGGACGCCAGATATTACATGTCCTGCAGTGCTTTACAGGGACCTCCATCGCTGCAGTAGTAGATTCTGCCGACTTGATCAGGGTCCAGTCGTTAGTCGGGGGCTGTTGTCGCAAGGGATCGTTGTCTGCTTGGGAAGGGGGGAAGGCGTGCTGGTTCCTAGGAAGGATCTGTGGTACAATGTGAGCAGCAGAAAACGGAAGCGAGTAGCAGCAGGCTTTGACTTACACCAGGGTCCGACACGGATGCGTGGAAGAAGGAAGACAAGCAGATGTAGAATACGTATGCAAAAGTGATTGGGATAGCGGGGCTGATATTATTCCACAACCACGGAGCTGAGAAGGCGAAGAAGAGCACTCCGGGAATGACCACCATGAGGCCAGTTGCAATGTTGATGGGCCGTTGCCTGGAGTTTTGGAATCGGCCTCCAAAGCAGAAGACCATGTTGCCTTCGAAATGCTCGAAAACAAATCCTGGTTTAGCAGCAGGTATAGGTAGCTCAGACACTTCCGCGGGTCGTCCAGAGCCCTCGCCGTTCAGTCGGGGAGAAGAGGCTGCAGAAGACAGCTTCTCAGCACCAGGAGGCGGCACCCTGTTGGGCGTGTTGACCCGTTCCTGACTTCGGCCTGGCATCAGAAAACTTGACCTGAAGGACCGCGGTGACTTGATCGGGCTCGGCATGTTGCCCCTCTCCTTGTAGCTCTTGTCCACGTTGATGTTGAGATTCCTCGGTTCGAACGGCTTCCGCTGAAGGGGGCGCACACTGTCGGTCAAGCTGCCAGCAGGATAGTGACCATGCGTCGGACTGGTATTGGCCGTAATGCGGTCAAGTGTTTCTTGTTCGGTAAACTCGGTACCTCGCGAGGGCGGCGCTCGCAACTCTCCGTCGTCGCTTGTCTGATTTTGAATGCGCACCATGGGATTCGAAATGATGCTCTGCCGTGTTCCGTCTACAGATTCCTGCGCGTTCTCGTCGAGCGTCGGCTGCTGTTGATTAACGGTTTGGGGACGTGATGGTCCCCCTCGTTGGGCTTGCAGCTTCTGCGAGCTCAGCGGGTGGAAGAAGGCGTGCGAGGTCAGGGAGGGTACATGGCTGCGGCTGGTCGAGCTTGGTGGCCTGTTACTCGCGACGCTTCCACTACCCGTGCTGCCTCTCTTTGCGGCGAGCCCCGAAACATGACTCTTGCGGAGTGGCTGGGGGTGTCTCCAGCCGTCGCGCGAGCCCGAAAGGCCCGTCTTTGCCGTCCCGGGTCGCGATGCGGTGTCCGTGGTACCCTTCCTCTGTACACCAGCTGGATGATGTTGGGTTTCAGCTTCGCCACCGTCGTCTGAAGCGATGTCCGTCATACGCGAAGAGATGATGCTTTGTGGGCCCTGGCCTTCAGAACGTCCGGGGAAACTGAGGAGTCGGAAAGTCATCGTGGGCGCTCGGCGACGTAGCCCGCTCAGTGTGATCTCTTGACGCCATTTGCGGGTGTGTTGTGTAAGTCTGTAGTCTTCTCGTCGGCCTGGAAGAAACAAGTCTGGCGTCGTCCAGGGCGTGTATCAAATCCCGTCGGCCCCAGGTCGAGACGACGTCCCCCCCGTTTGGTTTGGCCAGGGGATGCGGGATGTGCCTCCCGGCCAAAAATATGTCCAAGGGTTGAAAATTCGCGCCAGCTTTCGTGAGGAATGCGTTTTAGTTCTAGCGTCGTTGACGGGAATACCGCGAAACTCTTTCGTCGGATCGGATCAAGGAGTGTTGTTGTTTGGATTAAAGGTCGGATTAGTGAGGGTAATGGCAGTATCGAACGACAGCGGGGAAGAAGGTCTACAACGAAGAGAAAGAAGGGAACGGTGGGTCATGCGATGAGAACCTGACTTCTGGATCGTGTGGTTCCTTTTGCAAGTCGGCGACCAGGCAAGAAGGTGAACCAGCTACGAGCAGAGTGGAGGGAAACGGGATGGGAGCCTGCGTCTGAGGCAAGCATGGGCTTGTGCTGCCCGACGAATTGTGACGAAGCACGGCCCTCCCCAAGGGGGGTCTGGGGGTCTGTTTCCGACCAATGGACAACGAGAGACGGCTGAGCGCACGGGCCCAGCTGGGTGCTGCATAAAATTACGCTTTCCAGGAGGTGTTAGTGCTACTGCTTACTACAGTGGTATCGCCTAACAGGCAGCTTCCCTTGCTTGCTGATTTGCGCGTTCAACGCGCTGACTGGATGCGAGAGAGCAGTTTGATGCGTCTGCCTTTCGCTACGGCCTTTGTCGCGAATCTTCAGAGTGGTCCCGATGCTCCGGATGTACCGGTCGGCATTGGGGTAGGGCTCCCTGTTGACTAAGCCATCTCCTGTACAACTACTTTGTGTGTGTTTACCTTACCGTAATATCTTCGCTGATGTCAGAGTGAACCACGAAAGGTGATCCATGCACCCATCCATATGCAATTAACCCCTCCCGATGAGGTAATACTCCGTTTCTGTTAATTGGCCAATCATATGTCTTGCAAAAAACCGACCAATCAAATCCTGCGCGACAAACGTCAACCTCAGAACCTCGAGCCGAGCCCATCATACGACCGTCTTCAAAGACCTTCAAACCCACCCGATCAACCGACCTTGAACCCCCCCCACCGTGAATCTCCCGACGCCTACGACTCAAAATGGCCTCCCTCATCGCCCGCCGCACCTTCACCACTTCCCTGCGTCGCATGACCGACCAGGGCAAGCAGCAGATCACCCAGGACTCCAAGCGCAACCCCGAGACCTTTGTGCGTGATATCCCCAGCGATGACGAGATGGCCGACAACATCCCTCGCATCCGCTGCAACCCACAATCTCTGAGAGCAGCAAGCTGATTGAGGCGGAATTACAGATTCTCGGCGGTGTCATGGTCCTCGCCCTCGCTGGCGCCGGCTTCTACTTCGGTACGCTTTCCTGACCCCGTCGACCGTGCTGAGAGATCGGTCGTGGCCAAACTCGCATGCAGGCATTGAGCCCACAGATCCGACGATGCCCGGTCCAAAACGATAGGCGCTCTGAGCTAACCTCGGTTCGCCCCCCTACCACAGGCAGCTCGCCCACCAAGTCGACCTCCGAGACGCACGTCGTCAAGGCCGGCTCTCCCTGGGAGACCGGCTCCAAGGAGGGTGCCTACCGCTACCACCCCGGCGGCGACACCAGCAACGAGCCCAGGGACGCCCCCAGCGCCGTCAACACTGTCGTCCTGCCCAACGTCACCCTGCCCGCGGTACGCCCCTTCTCCCCTTCCCTCCAGTCCGTTGAGATGCGAAGCCTCGATAATGAGCGACTCGCGCTTCGAATCACCTCGCAGGCCAAAAAAAAATGAAGAACCAATGCTAACGGCATGTTTCCAGGAGCTTCACGAGAAGTACAACAAGTGGGGCAAGGATGGCTACCCTTAAGCGTCTCCTGCTTCTGTACCAAAATGAGTGCGTCACGCGGAGCAGAGATGGTGGCCTGGGGATCGCAGACGTCGAGAGTAAGCTTCCGTTTGTAGATAGAGATGGAATGGGAAGCATCAGCTGTTTGAACCTTCGCGTCTGCTCTCGTGCTGTACTTGTCTACAAAGGTCGTCCACAACATGTCACTTGATTAGGTTGAAGTATTTCCCATATAAGTCCGGCGCCTCGTGCTTCGTTCGAGCTATCAAACGCAGATTCTCGTGGATTTTAGCATGTGAATGGCGAGGGAAATCTGTCAGAGTTGGCAAAGAAAAATACATCCAAGAACTAGGCTAAAACCAACATTGCAAGGATGAGAGCGAGGCGATGTAGGTCGACTGCTGAAGGCCCTTGCAGCTCCTCTCGTCAACGGAATTCGCTTCCTGTCCTGAGTACTGGCCTTCTTGATGTAGGAGTGCCAGAGTTTGGTGCTTCAACTGAATATTTGGTACAGTGAATATATATATAACCCCAAGAATGTGTTCGAATAGATCCTTTTTCATAGCTTGCAGCCAGATCATTGGTCTTGTTGAACCACTGCAACCATATTTTCAACAGAGGGCTGGACGAAGACACGAATGACGCCTCGTGAAATTTGTCGACTACTGACTGTGTATCAGTCGTTTCAGAGACAACACTTGATGTAGATGCACCCTCTCGAAGCCATCTGTATGACCATTTCCCAAGATCGGTGGCAAATACTATTGCCCAATCTCTTTGAGTGCCAGAGAGAGTGCACGTCTCTCCCAATTTACATGAAGGAAACCTTTATATACAGAAAAGTCATCATTGCCCCTCAGGGAGTCATCTAAAGATCGTACCTATCTATGAAGAAAGCGCCTCTATTTCCTCAGCTGAGAAGCCAAACATGTACAGCAGGTCCAGCAGGCTGTCGCCATTCAGACGGGCGTCAGCCTCCATCTGCACCCTCGGCTTAGCATTCCACGCGACGCCAAGACCGGCCGCCTCCATCATGAGCAAATCATTGGCGCCATCACCGACAGCCACGACCTGCGACAGATCAACACCCTCCTGCTGGGCAATCTGGACAAGGAGGTCGCGCTTGCGCTCCTTGCCAACGATGGTGCCCTTGACCTCGCCCGTCAGGCGGCCGGTGGCCTCGTCAATGACAACTTCATTGGCGTGGGCGTGATCGATGCCCAGCTCGCCGGCTAACCAGCTAGTCAGGGGGAGGAAACCGCCAGAGAGGACGGCCGTTTTGACGCCGAGGCGTTTGAGCGCCTTGATCAGTTTGGGGACGCCATTTGTAACGTCGAGATCCTTGCGCAGGTCGGCAAAGATGGAGGCGGGCAGACCAGCGAGCAGCTGGACACGCTCACGGAAGGCAGCATCGAATTCGAGCTCACCGAGCATAGCGCGATGGGTGATGTCAGCGACCCGAGCGGCGAGGTCGGGGGGGTTGGTAATGGTGGCGGCGAGAAGGTCAATGACCTCCTGTGTAATGAGGGTGCTGTCCATGTCGAAAACTACGAGACGCGGGTGGCGGCGCCAGAGAGTATCAGGCTGAAGGGCGACATCGACTCCCCACTCCTGCTCGAATCGATAGATGAGCTCGTGCTTGCGGAGGTCGCGGAGCCCGAGGAAAGACGGCGAGGGCGCCGGCGACAGGGTCAGCTCGACGACTCGTGGGCTGTCCTGCCGGTCGAGGCAGCGGTGGGATGAGTTGAGGTCGGTCTCGCCCTGGGGAAGGGGGAACGTCGACATGAGGTGGAGGAACGAGGTGATGCAGAGGGGCGAGATGTATGAACCATACAGGTGGTCAAGCTGCTCAGGCTCGGCGGCCGGGGGCTCCAGAGGGAAGGCATCAGGATTCTGCGTGGGCGCCGAGTTGGCGGGGATGTTGCTGTCCGAGGCAGAAGGGTCGACGGAGGAGGCGGCGTTGGGAGGGGAGGCGGCGCCCGAGTTGGCGGCTGACAGGCGCGGCTCGTTTGCCCTTGTAGAAGAGCGTCGCAATCAGGCGGTCCGTCTGAGACCCGGCGAGAGGCGTGCAGTTGGGGTGGGAGTAGGCGTGGTTGATGCCGCTCTCGACAATCGTCGGCGGGTTCTCGGTCGAGGGAATGCCATTGAAGGCCTGAAGCTGGCGTGAAGGGGAGACTGATGTGCGGCCCATGTCTTCGACTACAGTATCGATGCCGAAGCGGCCCTCGGGGTGGTGGGGCGGGCGGTACTGCTGGTGCTCGCGCAGGAACGAGCTGCTCCTCATGGCAGAGTTCAGCTGAGGCCGAGGTGAGTTGGTCGCAGAGAGGCGCCTTGCGGATGCCGTGCTTTCAGCCATGGCGATGTCTGGTCTGGGTGGTGTCAGGCGATGATGAGACTTTTGTCGCGATCGAAAGACTGGCGACCGAAACCGGTTCCAGCGGCGGGGTACCTAAATTGAAACGGGAGGTCGACAAGGCGAGGAGGCTGGAAGCAGAAAGGACTGTGCGCGAGCCAAATTGCCGTGGTGGTGAGGAAGGGCAGAGGCAGAGAGCAATGGACGTGACAATCACACACTCTAGGACGTGAAATTCCTAGGCAAAGCCCATCGCATACAAGGATCGCACAAGTTGGGAGAGAATTGTCCGGCGACCATCAACCATGGAGGGGGAAATCCTGCCCCGCCGTCTCACGCCAGAACCGGGCGGAGCCGAAGAACCTGTCACGGAACGTACGTGGTTGGTCAGATCAGGTGACATGCACTACCTTCCCCGTCCCCCATCGTGCTTTCCCTTGGCAACTGGGTGGGAGGTGCGCTGCGCAGGCAGCTTTAACTCCCCGCCCCGCTCAGTTTTCCTGGTGTATTGAGTCTAGCTGACATCATTATGAGAAAGAGCTTCCTGATTCTCGTGATGTCAAGATGCTGGTGTTGCCCGACCGCACCCACCCAGGCAGTCGGGTGCTTGGATGAGGAGCTAAGTCTGGGATGTGCTTCCAGGGGTTCGTAGGGCTGACAAGGGGGTTGGGAATAGAGGCATTATCTTACCCTCGAAAAAAAAAAAAATGATGGCATGCGTGATTTACATGAATGGCTCGGGAAGGACACAGCACTCGGGTGACCTGGCTGATGTGGCTCGTCTTTTGACGGCGGCGACGATGAGGGAGCACTTTCATACTAGTGAATCCTAGGTGCTCATGACGTCGAAATCCCCCTAGGCTCACATTTAGCAACGTCGTCTGAAAGAATACTGACGAGTAGCATGCAGAAAGCAATCCATCGATGTTGTGCGGGTACGGCATGGACCACCTATTGATTAGGTACTTACGCTACCTGCCTACCCACGAGGTACGGTTAGGTATCGATCAGGTTTATGATGCTCCAGCGAACAAAGCAGCAGTGCGAAGGGACAACCATCGTGAAATACAGATCAAGGGCACCAAGGCAGCTATGTCCTCGAGCATGTGCTACCTTAGTAATAAAAGAAAGCTCATATGCTCGCGAGTGGTCCATTTGCCACCTTGACATGGCTGTGACGATACGTGCCTGGGCTTCGATGCTTATTGATCGCTGGATGAGCTGACTTGCACAACAGGACGGGGGTTCTCCATCGCTGAGCCTTCGGCGATAGCACTCGAGTCCCGAGCCATGACTCTCATTCCTTGGAAGCCTAACACAGTGGTCCCGAAGACGGCCGGAGATGGTCCCCTCACCCAGGAAACCCTCACATCGCGCCAGACACGGCTATTGGCATCAAGGGACATGCCCCCGCAATTCGCCATAACAACGAAACATCACGCCTTCAATCGTGACCTCCGCCCCCAGCTTTTCTCAAGGTGGACAGACTCCAATATTTCCGGAGAGAGGGGCAAGGGGAGGGGGGGCCGTAGACAAGACTCCGGTTCAGGCCCTCGTTGAGCAGGCCGCTGGCAACATAAATTGAAGTCACAGCCCTCGCATCCCGTGTTCATGATGACCCGCGCGCAATCCCAGCGAGATTGAGCTGAGAACCCGCCATCCCACGCTCGCCCCCTCCGCTCTGTGATCGCAAGTGAAGATTTCTCACCCCAAGTCGCGAGTACCCCTCCGCCTCATCCAAGCACACCAGCGTCAACGATCGATTGCGCAATGTCACGTGACATGAAAAGTCTCTAATACGGGGGCATCCCGTCTTGAAGCGCCAATCACATACCCTCGTCATCGTCACGAAAGGCCTAGCGCGGATGTCGTGATCGTTTTCTGTGGCCCTTGGCTCGAAAAGGCTCCAAGCACTCCCACAATTTCAACCTCACTTGGTGAGCATTGGCTCCGTGTTGCGTGCGCAGCGCCTTCTGCGTCCGGTTTCTGAACGGCGATTGCGCCATCGCTTGTGCGGGTTTTTGCTGTGAATCGTCTGGCCGAATACCTGTCTGGTCTCCATTAGTAATGATGCTTTGTGATGTTTGCTCGCTGTTCCTCCTAACGCTCCCGGGTATGCGCAGGGGGGGAGGGTAAGAGAAGGGAGGGCCACCCACCTTTTGATTGTTCCCCGGCTACGGAGGCCCCGTGTAAGTCGCTGACAAGCCTTCCCACGGTCCGCCATTCCCCAGCTGCAGCTCTCTTTTAAACCATCTTCTCCCACTTCACAACATCTTCGACTTGATCAGAACCGTATTCCACTACTGTTCGAGAACTCTTGCGTCATATCCTATCCTGGAAGACACCCTCGTCCCCAGACCACAATACCCCAGATCCTCCAAGTCCAGATTCGGACCAGAATCCCATCAGTCCAAGCACTCACTCGCGTGCCCCTCCTACTACCACAAGCCATCCCTCTTCCCTCATACCCCTCCTTTTCCAGCACGAATTCTTCCTCTCTCTCCCCCTCATTACCTTCCAAGAAGGACAAGAAAGAACATGTCCGTCTCCATGGCCACGCAAACGTCCGGACCCTTGAGGGTCGAGACCGTTCACGAGACCAAGCTGGAACACCAAGAGGTTGAGTCGGGATACGCCTCAGCCACAGACTCGACCTCGACGGCCTCATCCTCCACCAGCGCTCTGCCCCGAATCTCCCTCACTAAGGCGCACCTCAACCACCTCAACTCCCAGATGGAGAACATGGATGCCATGGAGATCCTTCGTTTCTCCAAGGTCATGTTCCCCAACCTCTTTCAATCCACAGCCTTTGGCCTGACGGGTCTCGTCACCATTGACATGCTGTCCAAGATCCAGACCGAGTCGCCCAGCTCGGCCCCCGTCGACCTCATCTTCCTCGACACCCACTACCACTTCCAGGAGACTCACGACCTCGTCTCGGCCGTCCAAACCCGCTACCCCAACGTCAAGCTTCACATCTACAAGCCGCACAAGGCCGACACTCTCGCCGAGTTTGAGGCCACCTACGGCGACCGTATGTATGAGAAGGACAGTGAGCTGTATGACTGGACGGCCAAGGTCGAGCCGTTGCAGCGCGCCTATGAGGAACTCGGTGTCGCAGCTATCCTCACTGGCCGTCGTCGCTCTCAAGGTGGCGCCCGTGACAAGATGCCCATCATCGAGGTCGACGACGAGCGTGGCGTCATCAAGATCAACCCCCTCGCCAGCTGGTCCTTCGCCCAGGTCCGCGATTACGTCAAGAACAACAATGTGCCCTACAACGCCCTGCTCGACCGCGGCTACAAGTCCGTCGGCGACTGGCACTCCACTTCGCCCGTGGCTGAAGGCGAGGACGAGCGCGCCGGACGCTGGAAGGGCCAGCAGAAGACCGAGTGCGGCATCCACAACAAGAAGTCGCGCTATGCGCAGTACCTCGAGGAGCTCGCGCAGAAGGAGAAGCTCGACGCCGCCGCCGCCGCGCTCGAGAAGGTCGAGGCCAGTCAGTCGGTGGCCGTCTGATACGTCAATTCCTTCGTGTGTCTGGCTCCATGATTAATTGTACATATGACGGATGACGGGACGGCACCTGCATGACGGCGTTACGGGAGATATACCCGCCGGGGGGCGCCGGGGGGTTGGGAAGCATATTGGCGTTTTATTTTCTCTCTTTCTTGTTGTTACCTCTCCATGGGTTCAAAAAGCGGAAGCATAGGATGTCGGCTGGATGGAACCGCCCAAGACAATCCACGATATTTGAATCAAAGCATAATGAAACGAAGCGGATGTTCCTACTGTGACGTGCATTGATTTGAAAGTGGCATGATGAGGTGAGGTTGATGCCGGGTCGAAAGCTGGGCAACCCCTCGTGACGCGGCTCCAACTCGACCCCGCTCGGGGCTTGATCGTCGACCCAAGTCCGGCAATTCGCGGCTGATGCTTGTGCGACAAGTGCCCAGCGGGTCGGTGAATGACCGCTTGGTGACGAAGCTGGGCGCGCATTTTCAGAAGGGTCCGGCTTGGTCTGCATGTTCAACATAAGCTGTCCGGGGAGGAATCACTAGCTACCTATTTACCCCGCGGTGAGGGCATTACCGTGCGAATAATGAATACTCCTTGGTGCTCAGCAAAACGTATCTCCAGTCAACATTTGCCCACGCTAACCACGTGAATGTGTCAAGTTTTTTTCTAACACACTCTTTAATTCATCTCTCAGTCTGTCGTGGTTTTGTGTCAACAGTTGATGATGAGGATAGGAGTGGGGCACAGTGCGATATCGCGCGGCGTGTTTTATCTTTTCCAACATTAATTTGACTGATAGACAACTCAGTATACTGTTCGGGCGACTTATTGTCCTTCTTCATTTCACATTCCAGCTTTCAAAGAAAAAGAAAAAAAGCTCTCATCTGTTCTTGTATACCTCACAATGTCGTCTGAGCTACCAGCGCCGCCAGCTAGCTTTGTGGTGCGAAAAGACAAAATCCTGCAGCAACTCAACGTCCCTGTGTCAGACTACACAGACTTGTCACCCAAAGGCTCGGTAGATGCCAACATCCGCGACCTCATAGACGGGCTCAACGAATTTGACGGACTTGTCACAACGAGCAGCTGCGGCGGCCGTGTCAGTGTTTTTCTTGAGGGGCGTCGTGATATCGATACCGCCTCGTCTGGCGATGCTGTGGACGATAGGCAAACCCAAGCTGGCGTAGGAGGAAAAGGGGGCGGAGGAACATGGCTGTTTGTGTCCCATGATCGCGTTGACATGAAGACTGTCGAGGACGAAGATGCAGCATTGCGGGTGATGGGCCTGGATGTCACTGGAGGGAGCCCAGTCGGCATTTCCTCGAAAAGGCTCATACACTTCAAGTTTGAACCAATGGTAAGAATTCACCTGCTCCTCTCCACATCGTGTTGTACCATCCCCTGCAGCTGAATCGAACGTTTCTCGTTTACTGACATTTTCAGATACTCCATGTTTTAACTGCCTCCACTGCTCACGCCCAGCTTCTCCTCAAGTGTGCTTTCCAGTCTGGATTTCGCGAGAGTGGCGCATTGAACATCACCACGGCCAACGACAGCCCCATCATACCCATGGTTGCCGTTCGCACCATGGGACTGAGCTTCGAGTCCTTGATCGGCGTTGAGACGGAGGATGGCCGACGAGAAGCCATTGTGTCCGCCTCATACCTGAAAACACTTCTTGATATCGGAAACGACCGCTTTGTCGAAAATGACAAGAGAATAGCGAGATTCCGCTCGGCGTTGAGAGATGCCGTCACAGGTCGCCCAGCCAAGGTTGGAGAAAACGGTGTGGACTGGGAGGATCCTGCGGCCAGGAAGGAGCGCAAGAGAGCAGAAGGGCTAAGGCGCAGAGCTGAGATGGCCGCTGCGGGACGAGATCGCAGCGTGGCAGGCAAGCATCACGAGAGCACCTCGGACCAAGATGACTTGAATGGCGATGATGCCCTCGACGGTCTCTTCTGACCAATGCATCCACTTTGGTCTATACTCGTATCATGCCTCCCGTGCCGTCCACGCTGCTGCTGACGTATAATACAAGCTTGCTACACCTAGCCGCTCGATGCCGCTCGGTGATGTTCCTTTTTCGCCCCTGCTTCGCGCTCGCTCAAGAGATGACCTTCTCGACCCAACCCTTTTCCCAGTTCTTCACCTCGCGCTTGAAAGCCTCAACCTCCTCCCAGCAGTCCAGCGGTCGACGGTCGTTCTCCCGCAGGCACCGCACGACCTCGCTCCGCGCGCTCTCAACGCCCTCGGGCAAATCGCGCACCTTTCGGCGCTCCTCGAGCTTAGCCCTCAGCGCCTCGACCTCCTTCGTGACCGACTGGCGGCTGCGCGCGCTGGCATCGGGAGCGGGCGCCTCGTCCTCGGCGCTAAAAATCTTCTTGAGGTGCTCGGCCTCGCGGGCCTGGAGCTTCTTCAGCTCCTCAGCGACGCGAGCCTGAACCTGGAGCTCAGAGAGCTGGGCGCGGGAAGCATCGGTCTAGTTATCTCCATGTTAGCGACACCAGACAGTAAGATGTTGGGAAGGGCGCAGCGTACCTCGCGGCTCGTCTGTAGGGAGTCTATGAGGTCGTGGGATACGCCTGCGGGCGCGGACCTGCACGGCGACTTGTCAGTGTGTTGCTCGATGTCGGGCCAGTCGAGCCCATGGAAATGATTCACGTGAGGTCGTAGTCTGTCCGCTGATGCAGATACGTGCTGGAAGACGGCTTCACTCGCTAGCGCTATGATTGTAGCGTCAATGGGTTTGCGATAGTATTTTGATGCTGGCCGTGATGCAATGGAAATTCCCGGACCTTGAAATCGATATGCCGAAGCTCGGTGTTGGCCTGAAAACTGAGCGTCCGTCATCAGGCACATAATAGACAGCTGTCGCCGATTCCGCCAGCTGGCGCCAGAAGCTGACTCATCATAGTGATCACATCATCACGAGTCAAGTATTATGACTTTCACGTGATATTTTCGTCTAAGCTTATTTGGATCTCGGATCGCAGCCCCACCCGCCAGCCTCTTTCTGGAATCTATAGGTCCGTCCCATCAATTCGAAGGCATCTGGTGCTGACCATCTATTTCTCTTCGCGACCAGCATCGACACAACATGGCAACATCGTTGTCTTGACAGGGACCAGGACCAGGACGGGCTTCTCACCGGCTCACCGCCGACAAGGGCTCGGCGCGAGGTGGAAAGAACGCCAAATGCCCCGCCTGCAGCAAGGCTACAGGGCTTCACACCCTTCTTGAGCACGTCCACCTGATACTGGCGGATCCCCCAATATCGCTGAAACGTCCCAAGACGGCACGCGCCAAATGACTTCATCTTCACGAGACAGGCGCCCTGGCAGCTGTCAGCGCCAGCCAGCTCGATGGCTGTGCCAGGGCGGCCCCTGCCTGTACTGTCCCGGGCAGGCGGTTAATGACCTTACCACGGCGCGCCGCCCGTTCTTGTGAATGTCGCCTGTCAGCGCATCGCCAGTCCGTGCCACGGTG